AATAATTTTCTATATGGGACTAAGATCCGTATTTCACATAAGAATGAGTTGTTACACTCAACCTTACGCTATTTAGGTAGACATCATGTCAATCATATCCAATATGACTCTTATATCCTTTATAAGACTATGATATCAAATATCATTGCATACTCGTCTCATCTGTACCATTAAGTCTCAAGTCAAACTCGATAACTTAACCTAAGGTAAACCATATTCAAGCTGTGGAAACCACGATTTCCCACCCTGCCTCATAATGATAATCGGACACGCTCAGCTTTGGCATGACCCATGTTACAGACGATCGATGCCTTGACATGCGCTCTAATAATGGGAGGTACACGCTTAGCATTACATGAAAAAGGGGTTTTCGAAACCACACCTAGATCAAGCATCTATTTTCAAGCTATGAGAACCACCATTTTTCCATCTTGCCTCATCAAGATAGCACGGCACAGCCAGTTTTGGCATGGCCCATGACACGTACGATCGAGGCCTTGACAAGTGCTTTATTCATAGAACTCCTAGATCTAACCGGTTTCTGTGCAACGATTGTACATATCAAGGACCAACCATTGTTTCTTGACCAGATGTATTACATAATCCGAATAGACCATCCATTCGATTATGTAATCTCAATCTCGAAGCTCCCACTCATTCAAGCATATCCAATATCTTGATTAAGTTACATGCATTCATTCACTATGGACCATCCATAAGAATAATGTCTATTTGAGTCACAGACAATCAGATTAAGAAACAATTGCATAATCGGATTAGAAAACGGAAAAATATAAGTCTAGGCCTCGGACCGTCCGTTCCAGGTGTGGAACGGACGGTCCACTCTCAGCCATGGAAAGGACGGTCTAGTGAGACAGAACGGACGGTCTGTACTCAGACTATCTGGAACGGACGGTCCACAGACTCAGAACGAACGGTCCAGACCTTTCGGTCTAACCTCAGTTCGTCACCCCTGGACTGTCCGGTCTGGCATACCCAGAACGAACGGTCTAGGCTAGATCTTCGTGATCAGATCACGTTTTTTCGCGTTCTTGGCCCCGTTCAGACCCGAAACCGATCTGAATTCACCTGCGGACCCAAAATTCGAACTCCTGCACTCTATGCAACATGAAACATGCAATCTACCATAGATTCAATCATCAAACATGCATAGACATCAAAGCAAACATGGATTCAAACAATTCAAATCCTAAAACGTGCGTGATTGGGTTCTACGAAAAACATACAGAGCAACCAGGCTCTGATACCACTGATGGGTTTTCCCAGGATCGCATGAGCGAATCCTATTCCTAAGATATCGATTCTACAGTTTGCGCAGCGGATATAAAACAAAAATTTGAAGAAACCCTAGAACCATGCATGCATGCTTACGTAGAAACGTTAGAACGCTTACCTCAATCGATACGGGACCTGTATCAACTGAAGAATTCGTTCGATCACTTTAGACAGGAAGATTACCTCGCCCTCTACACGTATCCACACCTCGGGATGGATTCCAACGATTGGAACATGTCTGCTAGGACCCAAATCTGCTATTCGGTTTTGTACTTCGAGAAAACGAGATTTAGATCACTCTTAGAACCTCTTGGAGCTCACAAAAGTCTGTAGAAGTGTTCTTAAGTCGGCTCAAAAAGTCTCTTCCGTGATTAGGGTTTTAATCTCCTTCTTATAAGGTGATTTAACCCTAATTTCGGTCTAATTTTTGAAAAACCCGAAAACGGACGATCCAGAAAAGCACGTAGACCGTCCGTTCCAGCACTGCAGAACGGACGGTCTGCTTCGGCGGACCGTCCGTTCCAGAAGGTCTGGAACGGACGGACTGCGTTCTGGACCGTCGGGTCTGGCCCTTTCGGTCCGTCCATTCCAGCACCTTCCATCTCAGTTTTTCGTCGTTTTCTCGTGCGTTTTGTCCTTCCCTGCGTGTGTGACCCTGTAGACTCATTCGATATAGCCGTATAACCCGAAATCTCTATTTCGGATATACAAGTCATAGGCGGTCTCTAGCAAGACACTATGACTACCTATCTCGAATAGAGTTTGTTCGTGATCTTACGAACGCCAGTGATGATTCCGTTTGATGATCCTTTTGTATCACGATATCATATGTCGAATATAAGGTATGAAGGCATGGACAAGCCACCTTATCTGATTCGACTGCTTTCTCGTTCACTGAGTTCGACTGTCTGAAATAGACGACGTTCGTCTATAGTGCGACCACACATTTCTACAGTCTCGCTCATACGAGGGGTCCAGCGATATCTCTCTCTTTTATGAGAGGTACAAATCCCGTCTTGACTATCTACAATCCAGCACATGATTTGTTTGGTACATGATCCTTTATAGTCCTCCTGTTACGCAGGACGTTTGACGTATTCAAAATACGCAACTCCTCATATTGGATTACGTAGATATCTCAGGTCTTAGGATCCAATCATGGAACCGTCATACGAGATTCAAGTCATGACGCTAGTCCATGTGACAATCTCATGCGGATCAATCCAGTATTACATTCTCCAACGAATACATATGATTGTGATCGTATCCAATACCTATGATCATCTATATGATCATCAATCACACATCATACTAGTCTTATTATATCATTATTCCCACAATGACATACGACTAGAGAGTTTAGTATTGTTCATAACAATACATGGATTTCATAACATATTAAAGCATGCACAATACGTAATGAATCAAACACTCATCCATAAAATCATAGAAAGTGTCAATACATCAAATGTATCTAAATAAAGCTCGCATAACAGTACATTAAACCAATATGCAAAAACATTATATTCACAATTGTTGTCATTTTGCAGTAGTCCCTCCATATACTGAATGTCGAGAACATCCCCGTCAAAGAAAGCTTCTGATTCAGCCAAGAGAGATGCATTCGGAACGAGATGACATAACATATGTCAACAATATTATCCAGATATTACTGTGTGACCATGTGACTGTGTGACCATGTGACCTTGTGACCATGTGATTATGTGACCGTGTGATCATGTGACCGTGTGACCACGTGACCATGTGACCGTATAAACTTACAATATTTGTGTTCCATATTTCGTGTAACAGAAGCTCTTTCTAGAACCTTGGACTTCGTAATACATCCAATCCTGAATTCCACAACCGCTTTATGATTCTGATCGTGTGACCATGTCCTTCGAATCCTCATGCCATCCAAACATCCAAATATCAACACATATGGTTTTGTGACCTATATGACTGTCCTAAATGATCTTCTGATCGAAACTCACCAATTTCACTCAATTTTAATCACAAAACCTCAAACCCAATACTCTATTTCAAAATCTCTAAATTTTTAAAAATATCCAAAACTCTAATACTCCATCGGTCAAATATCGAACTCACCTTCAATTCAACAGGAAGAAATCTCAAAATCAAACAAATCTGAAAGAAATCGAAGTCGGTGGATAAACGAAAATTATGAGAAAAATCGAGATTTAGAATACAAATCACCGAAAGAAAGAGGAGAGTTCGACTTTTTTTAGAGAGAGACCGAAAATCACAATTTAGTAGAGAGAAGGGAGAGAGACGTGACTTAAAGGAGAGAGAAAATCATTACAATAAAAAAATAATGGAGTTTCTTTTTTTCAATTTTTTAAAATATAAAATTTGGAGGGCAGAGAGGCTGTATGTATAGATAAGAACAGTCGATAAAAGTCCTTATTGTTATTAGTAAAGCGCTAACGGTCTTCGTCGCTGACGTTCGTCAAGCAGGCCACGTGGATTGGCCAGGGTCTTCTCCTTGAATTATTTAGTGGGGGGTTATTATGTCTTTTATATTGTATGTTTCATTTTTTTTTAATTTTTTGTTTGGAGGGTATGATAAGAAGTAGATGTAGTTATGGGAGGGTATTTTAACTTATATCCCCCAATATCAACCTACATTCAAAACAACAGAAGATGAGTCTCGTACTTTTTTTTTTTATAAAAGGGGCAAGAACAGGTAAACCGTAAAGGAAAAAGAAAGACACCATGGATACAAAATAAGACACCAACAATCTTATATTATCTGCTTCAATTGAGGCAGACATGGACAATCGTCCAAATAGCACCGACAATTTGTGCAGTGCTTGGAGACTGCAACCACATACACATTAATGGACCAATCATCATAATGCAGAATATACCTTTGCCAAGAACCCATTCTGGTAATGCGAGAATAGCTCAGACAGTAGCAAGAAAAAATAAGCGGAAAAGCAAATTTACAGAAAAAAATCTCACCTCAATCAGTGATCACTCACATGAATCAAAAGATGATAATGTCCTCTGACCTCTTTCAGTTGAAAGAATTCCCATAAAACAAGGGAAATTAAAATATTTACAGTAACAAAAAATTCCAAAAACGGGACCCACAAACATCAGCCTTGACAAAGGACTTCCATTGATGATATAATCCCCAAAAATCGACTCCAGACCACACAATGTTTATAAACACTCACTGCAGATCTGTTCCGGTTTACGATTTACAAATCGACTCTAGAGTCCAAATCACACACTGGCTACTTAGAGGGTGGTACTCGCAATGCAAAACATGACAATGACAAGAACTTAAAAGGAAAGAAGATTACCATAAAATTAAACACGTAGCACATATAGTAGAGTAGAAGCTTGGCATCAGAAAACATGCGAGGAGATTTAACTTTTGTAAAACAGGACCAACATGACCATTCTATTTTTTACCCCTAGATATTTTCTCTACACAACAAAGGTAGAATAACATATTTCTCCATCTTCCACAACAAATTTCTAAAAACAATCTAACCCTCTGGCCCGAACCTCGATACGACAGAAGTTCTACCTTAGAAGTAAGAAACATGAACGGTTCTACCTCTAAAGAAATAAACATGAAACTCACCACCAATTTTCTGACATCAAAAGAAGTCTCTAAATCATTGTCTATATAAATTTAAACAGAAATTAATTTTAATTAAACTAAAAAGTAAACATGAAATTAACAGAAGCATGAAATATGCAACGAACAATCTAAACCTTTTAAGAAAAATCGACTACTGCAAAAATTCAAACACAAAGAAGTAGAAGCACAGTCACTGGCAGGAAACAAAACGGAAAAGCACAAAAATATATAACAGGAAGACTATTTGCCTACTTCTCCTTAATCCTTTCCTTGAAGCCGTACGTTACTAAAGGTTTTTTCTTAGATTGAACAATTTCGTGACACGAAGATGTCAAGTTTCCTCTCCAAAACCAGAGTATGCCATATTTTTATCTTCATGAAACCTACCATGAAAATTAAATGCAAGAAATTTTAAACGGGTAACCTCACTACTTAATGACAAAATAAGGAGGAATAAAAACATTGCATATGCAGTTGATCAGCCTGACACGCCAAAACTAGTCGAGGAGACCAAATTCAGCATCTTTATTCGCCATTGCACCAAGATGAACAAGGAAACTGCACATTACTTCAGCACTGAATAAACTAGAGCACGAAAGGGAAACAGAAAATCAAATTAATCAGGTGAAAAGAGTTCCTGATAAGATTCTCTGTCTTTCGTTTGGCATCCAGGAGAAATCAACTATAATATCGATGCCTTTGGTATATTCAGTTAGATCTAAATCCATATCCATGATTCCACTGACATCAGGAGAATCAGGTGCTGATGATTTTGACGGCAATACACACTTGAAATGGCATATTCCATGCATAGTCAGTATATTTTGTGTAAAAACTTGAGCAAGTGACCTCAAGAGCTTCTGTAAGGAGTGAATTTTCAGCTGTAGGAGAACAATCTATGATCTTAACGGATTTGTCAAGAAGGTATCTCTTCAAAATTTTCAGCTGCACAGAAAGGTTTACATCAGATATGACATTATCAGCACAAGATCTGAATTGTGAACCAATATCATAACACTACGAATTTCTCTTGGTAATCCTGCTGAGAAAGAGTCCAATCTATGCTTAAGAAATGTTCTTTGGGCTCAGCAAAAAGAATAACAAATACAACTTCTAAAGAATTATCAAACCTCTCTCCTTGTTAAAAGCTCAGCAAGCTTAATAGAGAGTTCCACCATTTGTTTCACCAGAACTCAACATGAAAATTGTACTGGATTTCTACAATGAATCGTAAAACAACAAGAAAGGGTTATGAGAGTAAGCATGTTAAAAAACACAACTTTCTGATCAAATCATCACTAAATTAAAATAAATATGCAACATGATCACCTTATCTGCGGAAAAATGTTTATCCTGTCAATAAAGAGATAAAGAAGAAGTGAATGAAACCAATTAAAAACGAAAAGTCGATTAGTGAGCAAGTAAATTTACATTTCTCTTGGTAGAGTTACCTTTTTATCGGTATCCTGCAGAGAAAGAGTG